CTAACCAGCTGATCTTGAGCTATGGATTATTACATAGAGAAGTAAAATCCTCTAATGGGAGGGTTAAAAACATGGCATTCCACTGCGCATGAGGGGTTCCCAGAGCTTTAAAACCCTCATTTAACTGTAATTTATGATAGTTTCCATAGCCAACTTGTAGCAGTGTTGATGTAAAGTAAGAGAAGACAGCACAGCTCTAGGAGGAGGTGAGTCACCGTGGAGTGGAAGGAACAGAAAGAAATCAGCAGTGACTAACCGTAAATCACCAGTTGCTTCTTGCATCGTGGCCAGAAGCCCCAAAGCTGTGCAGAGCGGCGTCACCCACCCACACTGTGTGTCCATTTGCAGAGTGATGATGGGACCTACACAGGTTTCATCAAGGTGCACCTGAAGCTGCGCCGCCCGGTGACGGTGCCGGCGGGGATCCGACCGCAGTCCATCTATGATGCCCTCAAGGAGGTGAACCTGGCAGAAACCACGGACAGGAGGACGTCCTTCTACCTGCCTTTGGATGCCATCAAGCAGCTGCACATCAGCAGCACGACCACGGTGAGCGAGGTGATCCAGGGGCTGCTCAAGAAGTTCATGGTGGTGGATAACCCGCAGAAGTTCGCGCTGTTCAAGGAGATGCGGAAGGATGGGCAAGGTGAGTTTGTAGGGCCCCAAAATGGCTCAGGTTGGAAAATGCTTCAGAGATCCCCAAACCCAACCCATCCCACCACCTTTTGGCATCACATCTCCGTGTTCCTTGAACACCTCCAGGGATGGTGACTCCTTCACTCCCTGGGCAGCTGTGCCACAGCATCACCACTCTTTCAGAGAAGGAATTTTCCCTCGTATCCAACCTGACCCTCCATCCCAGTTCCTTCAACCACTCCTATGCCCCCAAGACCCAACACAGATCACTGATAGATGCTCGGTGCCTTGACAACAACCCTGAGCAGCACAGCCTGCTCCCAAAGCCCACGCCACTGTTCCAAGCCTCCCTCTGGGCTCTGCAGGGCTCACAATGCTGTCTGCTGTCCCCTGCAGTCCTCCTGCAGAAGCTGCCCCTCACTGAATTCCCGCTGTACCTGCGGCTGCTGGCTGGCCCTGACACTGATGTGCTCAGCTTTGTGCTGAAGGAGAACGAGACCGGGGAGGTGGAGGTAGGTCTGGGGCTCCTTCCCTTGGTTTGTGCATGAACATGTATTTTTTGGTGATGGGATGGACCTGCAGGTCCCAGCAGGAGTGAGCCAGGCTTCTCCCCCCTCTAATACTGTTGGTTTTACCCCTAAAGTGTTGTTTGATTCCAGCTGTTCTCCAAACTTATCAGACTGCTTGTGTCTTGCTTTGAGAAAATACATCTCTGGGTCATTTGTTGCTTTCTGGATTGCACTGATTTAAAAATAAATCCTGCCATCTATTTACAGTGCTATCCCAGAGTTAAACCTCCGTAATCAGATTCAGCTAAATGCTGCCATAAGTAATCCATGAGTTTAAATAGAAGCTTGGGATGCCCAGGTGATGAAGCTTTATGCCATGGCAGTGCTCCCTGCTGGGACTCATTCAGATGTCAGTGCCTGCCTGGGAGCTTTCATTCATCCAAGCACGGATTCCTACTGAATCCATGGCTGTGTGGGCTCAGAGCTGGGCTGGTCCTTCACGGCTCCTTGTCCTGGTGCTCTCACAAGGATGCTTGGAGGTTATGCTCCCTGCGGATCAGCATGCATTGATCCTCTACAGATTCAGGAAAAAGCTGCAAAATCCACAGGGTGAATTACGTGCGCTCACTTTGCCTCTGCTTTGCCATTCCTGCAGTGGGATGCGTTCTCCATCCCAGAGCTACAAAACTTCTTAATGATCCTGGACAAAGAAGAGAAGGACAAAATCCAGCAAGTGAAAAGGAAGTATGAGAAGTTCAAACAGAGACTGCAGCAGAGCTTGAAAGAGGCTGGAGACAAACCTGGCTAACCCTCAGGGCACACCGGCAGTCAGACTAAGCTACGCGTGGTTCTTAAAAAGAACAGACTCCTCTCAGGACACCTTTTGGTGGTCACCCTCCCTCTTCATCCCTCCATTAAGGACGTAGCACCCATTCCATGGACGTGTTGTGTTTCCTTCTTTTGAAACCTCGTACCCCAGGACCAGAGCCAGCCCAACAACAGGACGCCGGCACCAGAACTGCTGGGGTGCGCTGAGCAGCTCAGTGGGCAACGCTGAACCCAGCAGGAAGAGCAGGCTGAGCTGCTCACGCTCCTCCCAGCAGCTCTCTTGCTACGGCTCTGCAGTTGCATCGCCTGTGCCCACGTGGCCCAGCTCTCATTTCTTAAGCAGGGCACAGGAAGGAGCAGACAACACAGAGGTTGGTGTGCCCACCCATGCGGGTGTTGCAGCTGTAACCGATGCCAGACAGACTTGTTCAAGGCTGAGGTGGGAAATGCAGCCGTGGCAGCTGCAGCACCCTGATAGTCCTTTGGTAAGTGATATTCAATCCAGGGAAAGTCATTTATTTTGTTGCTAATTAATTTCAAAAAGAGACTTGAATTTGAGCAAATATCCATGACGCTTAGCTGAGCTAGCCTGTGTGTTAGGAGTTTTCTACTCTGTAGGAATTGGGACCTATGTTTTAAGAGAAAAGCATGAAGATGGGGGTGTGGGATGGTGGTTCTGCATAGAACCCTGAGCAATACACAGCCAGCAGACGATTGCAGGGAAGCTCAAAGCCCTCTTTCACCAATCAGACCCATTTTGGGCTGTGAAGGGGTCTGGCAGGAGGGAGAGGAGCTCCAACCCAGGCTGGCTTGTGGACGTGTCCACAGCAGTGTCTGTGCAGGAGATCCTTAGCACCAGGAAGAGCAAGGAAACCACAAACCTGAGATGCTTTCCTGCCACCACCCCCTTGCACCATGCCTCCTCTTGCTGACCCCCCACCCCCCGTGCTGCTCTCCCACCTCTTTTCTCCCTTCCCAGTGCAAGGGATGCTATGGGGATGCCAATCCCAGAGGCGATTTCCCCACCTTTACTTTCAGCACTTTGTACTGAGCACACGGCACGTTCCATCTTCCCTCTGTTCAGAGGACAGTGCAGCACAGAGTGAAAAGTGAACGTGAAAACTAGCTGGATACAGATGGAGCATCTGAAATGCTCTTGGTGACCCGAGTGTCTCCCACTAATGCGAAGTAGAAAGGAGCAGGTTATTAGGGAACAGATGATGGAGACAACTTGGAAGAGTCTAAAATTTACCTCAGTGCCTTTTATTTTTCCTGAAGTGTGAAAACTTTACATTTGGGTTAAAGAGGAGGTTGGAAGGGGCTTTTGCCAAGGCCTTGGCAGTGCTCCCCCAGGTCCCTGCAGGCTGCTTTTATCCAGAGAGAGAAGAGGAACTGTTGTTCCTTTCTGCAAGATGACTGCTTGGCTTTTCTTTTTTCCTTCCCCAGATTTATACTTGAGTATGCTTGTTTATAAAGGTATGAGAGTAACTGCATCACTTACAGCCCTCACTTGGTGCAAGCTCAGCTCCAGCCCTTGCCTTACTCAGTGGTGTAAAAGGGTTTCCAGGCGAGGCTCCAGCCACTGCCACACGCTGCAGGAAGGGCCTCCCAGCTGTACTGTATTCTCTACCCAGATGACCTTTAACAGCGTGGCAGCAGCCCAAATAGAGCAGTAATTTTCATGCTCCGGGGCTGCTTGCCTGTTTATACTTATTACTTTGCTATGCACTTGTGAAGTAATTTAAGTAACATTTATCCACTGCTTTGAGTCTCGAAAGCACTGTACAAATACTTCTGTTCGGTTGAGTGTAAGGACACTGTAGAAACTGCCTCTGGTTCTGAGAAACAAGACCCAGATGCTTGCTTTCAAATCCCTTATCTTTCTGGCTATCAGTTTCAAAAAGATTGCTATTATTTTTCCTGGTTGCTGTTGTCTTCTACTCGAGTTCTGGTGACCATCTCCCCTTCCCTTCCTGGAACCCAGCATGTCTTTGACATTCTGTAGAAGGCATGGCTTCTTATGCAATTACTGTGAATGCTGCTGAAAACCTCCTGCAAAGAGGAGGGTTTTTTTTCTTTCTTTCTTTCTTTTTAAAGATGTGGGGCATTGGAAGTGGTAGATATTGAAACTCAGCTTCCCAGCAGCCAGTTGTGTCCAGGACAGGCATATTGGGCCCCTTCCTTACGCTGAGTACTGTTGGCAGTGCCTTTGGTTGTGTTGTCTCTGCCTTGTTTGTGTGACTTTATTTCTCCTGGCTCTTGTAAAACATGTAAAATAATGTGTATAGGACGGAACAAGCAAAGCTTCTATGGCAAAGTGAAATGCATTTTTTGCGATGCTGTAATTTATTTTTATTACTCCTTAGGAATTCTATGGCATTTTTAAAAAATGTCTCACTCCCAGCTTTTTTTTTTTTTTTTTTTGAAGGTTCTGAAACTACTTATTCATATGCAGACAGTGTAAAAGACAACGACAATAAAACTGTCACTAATTAAAAAAATTAAATCTCTGACTTATTTTTCTGGCGCCCTCTTATGGCATTTTCTTGCCTTGAGTCTAAAGGCAAAATATGGGAGTCCTTCCAGAACTGAATGTGAAGTCTAAACTTCAATGAAAGCAGCACAGAGCATTTACTTCTGAGAATCCAAGTGTTCCATTAATTGTCTTTAGTATTTATTAGTATTAATTTGTCTTTTGTATTTAGATGGCTTTGACAGAGCTACTACCTCTCATAAGCTGCAGTTAACGTTATACATGCAAGTAAGAGTTTGCTCTGCACCCTGGAATGTCTTCATATCAATACCTGGAAGTGTTTACAGGGATGACATCTAAGCCAAATGCTTTTTTATGTGATATAAATGCTCTATGGCACAATGTCCTGGAACATTCAGGATGAGGTGCTATCACAACGCTTTGGTTCAAAAGGTGGTAAGTAAGAATCTCCAGCTGGCTGTGAGGTTCTATAGCAAAAAAAAAAAAAATGGGATGCCCATATATTGGAAAATATATGGAAAAGGATAAAGCTGTTAATTTTTTTTCAGCTTTTTATTCTTATGAAAAACGATCACTTAGAGCAACATTATTATTTGGGATAATCCCAGCCCATGTAGAAATGCAGGGCTTTGAATGAATAAGGCCTGTACACAACCTTGATCTGTTGGCAGGACGTTTCTATAAATAATGAGAGCTGATTAATTCTTACAATAGATTTCTCTCCTACTTTTTCCGGCCGAGCTTTGGAGCCTTCTCAAGGCCTTGGATGTATTTCCGAGGTAGTTGGTATTCTTCTGCAACATGAAGAAGAGTTCATTTTAGGTAACAATGAAATTACTAACTAGAATCTGGATCTTGCTATAACTAGTCCAAGCCCTGGTCCAGAACAGACTTACCTAGCAGCATCTTGGCCAGATGATGGACTTGGTTGCCTTGGATCTGGACCTGAACTCTGTCTTTTGCTCCAGGCACTGGGGTGATGGTGGTGCTGGCCTGAACTTTCTGTTGTAGAATATTGGCCACACACTGTGGGTCTAAACCATACAGCTCGAGGTTCCTGATGATTGTCACCTGAAGGTTCCAGCAACGATTGCAGACTGTCAGCATTAATACATTGCACCCCATTCATCCCAGAAAAGCAAGCTGCCCTCAGAATCAGGACTCGTTCATATCCCACCTTTTTGTCTCTCTTCTTACCTTCTTGTTTGACGACCTCTGTGCAGTGCTTATGTCAATGGGCTCAATGCTTCCTTTCCTCACAATGGGTTCTTGTCCACAAAATGTCACCTGGTGTAAGGGCTGCAGACGCTCGAGGCACCTGAACAAAGTTTATAGATCCACTTGGTCTACACAGCACAGCAGGACTGATGTGAACTGTGTCTCTTCTGCTGCAGCCTATCACAGGTTTTTGAGACTATTAGTTTAGAACTGCATGGCCAGAGCTTGAACATAAAGAACAGGATGATTACTACTGCCTAAAGAGGGCATGTTCACCTATCTGCTGCAAACAATAGCTTCACAGATATGTATTTACAGATCGTACAGAGAATCAGGCAGTGCTTGTTTAGGCATCTTTTCCTGATAGTTAGCATGTAAACAAAACCAGAAAGCAACATTAGTTACTGACAGATGGTGGTTAAATGGTGAAGAATGAGATAGGATTGAGCTGAAGGTCTTTGGATGTTTTCTGTATCATCAGGAGGAAGTTACAACTCCAGTAACTCCAATGACACGGGGCTCTGACCTTGTGATAAACTTGACATAATGTGTTTCAGTATCACACAGAATTATCACAATGGAAAAACAGTCACCTGCTCACAAGGTCATCCCACTTCAGGTGTGAGATTTCATCTTGCTCTGATTTATCCAGCAGGCAGTCACACAGAATGGCATTTACTTTCACAAAGCTGTAAAAGAAAAACATGCATTAGGAGAAAACAAATTCACTTCTTGTTTCATATTCAGCATCTCCTGTGGAAGCAAGGTAGGACAGCTTTTTTTTGTATACTCACTTCTTGTTTGTTTCATCAACCAACTCGTTAGTCTTCACGTAGTTAATGATGATGTTTCTCACCTCACTGCTCGAGAGGATGCTTCCTTTTCTAAACAGAAAGAAAACTTGATTGCCTCCCCTTCAAAGCGAACAAAATGGCAGCAACACAAGTTTGTTAGCCTCTCTCTTAGCCCAACAATTGATTTTAGTGCATTTTTCCAGTGCTCACCTGTGTCCAGAATCCTGAAAGAGTGGCACCATCTTTGCTGAGACCCCATACAGAGGTATGATTTCAGGAGCACGGTATACTTGTTCCCTGTCTTCACTCTTGCTGTCTTGGGCAGCAGAGGCTGAAGAAAATCCTTCAGGTACTGCAAATGCTTTAATGCTGGGGGAAAAAAAAACCCAATGTTATTTGGTGGGAATAAGAGGTTGAAATTTGTAATATCAGTTTCTGTGCTTGCAAGTAAGCTGAGCTTGAGTGTAACCGTGCCTCCTAATGACAAGGTTGAGGATGATGAAAGTTAATGCAAAAAGTCAAATTCTGCTTCTTTCCAAATGCAGAAGATTTGCTTGCATCTACCAAAATATTCCCCAGCCCATCAGTTGCCAAGGAGATGTTACATAACAGCAGAACTCAGACCCAATGGGAAATTCCAAGAGAGAGCTTACTGTGCTGATATGCGAGAGGAAGGAATCTGGTTCTGGATATAACTATTAATCCTTAAAAAGAGCTGATAATCAGGTAATAAGCAATTAAAGAGGTATTTATGTGAATCAGTGTGTAAGGTGAAACAGTTTTTAAGGTTATAACCCTGGCTGCTGATCTGACAAAGTGGCTGATTTGATCCTGTGTGACGTTTTAAGGCTGTAGTTTCATGGGCATTTGTGCTGCAGCAGTGTCATCTTCTCACTGGGGTTATTTTTCAGACAGATAAGTTCACTTCAAAGCTGAACAAAGAACTGTCCCAGCAGATAGATGGGACTGGGAGACCTGCTTACATGGGAAAGGCATAAGGCAGTCAGACCATGAGACTCAGTGTTAAATAGCTGGAAAAATGCCTGATGGATATAAAGCTTTCTTCCCTTCCCACTGAAAAAAACCCATACAAGTTATCAAGACTCACTGTCAAAGGAATGTGCTTTTTAGTGACTGCTAACAAAGGTTATAATAGGTAACAAATGGAGACAGGTGATTCTGCTCCTTCTTTTCAAGGGCTATCACCTCGTTCAAAGACCACAATATTCTACATACTCTGGATGCTTCCAGTCCACCTCCACAATGCTTTCCACACCCTTGGTCAGCTCCTTCACTTGTAAGATCTTCTGCTGCTGCATACTTTGCAGGAATTTAGAAAACTGAGAAAACAACCATCAGAAAAGTGGAGTTGAGCATTTTAAATCCCTCTTTGTATTTCTGACTGCCCAAAAATTGCTTGCTAAATCAGAAGAACTTATTTTTGGTGGGGCTGGGGGGGAGGAAACCCAGCACTTTGCTTCTCCAACCACAGCAATTACTAAAGAATAGTGCGTGCCTCCATCATGCCCTAAAACAGAATTAGCAAGTGTTCCTTTTGTAGGTCTGCCACCTGTTTGCTCTGTGACCTTGGCCAAATCACACTGTGTCACATGGATTGCTGTGACATCTTTGGCAACAGGCTTTGGCCTTGCCTGTCATCTCCACTCTTTTCATCTTTGTTCATTAATAGCTTCAGAAAAGGAATGATCCCTCCTTGCAAGAAACTGCAATGTCCAACAAGATCAGAGCCTTTAACAGCTATCACAGTACAAATGCCAGACAGCATTAGATAGGTTCAAAGAAGTGCTCATGCTTTCAGGACAATAATTTTCTTCCCTTGAGCTCTCAGGAGCAGAGAGCTGAGTAAAAGAACCTGGCTTTCAGGAACAGCTTACAGGATTTTTCTGCTTTATTAACGCTTCAACATTTTTTATCTCTTCCTACTTATTTCAAGTAACCATTTTCCTTTTCAATAAAGGAAAAAAAAGAAGAACAACCAGGAAAATCTCACCTTCTTATAGCTTGACTTCTTTATATCCAGCTGCTGTCCAGCAGGGCTATAATGGATTTTTAAAAACAGTTCTTCAGTTTTAGGTACTCCTCATCTCTTTGCAAAGCTTCCTACTTGAAATTATCTTAACAGCAAAAATATGAGCTCCACACAGAATTACTTCAAACAAACTACCAGACAGAACACGATGAGTTCAACTAGCATTGATGCTTCCATAGGGAAGCAAAGAGCCATTTAAGTGATCAAGAAATCCTTAAACAATCGTTAGACAACTCAAGTTAGCTATTAAATGCATATCCTGGTTTCAATCATACAAACACCTTGATGTAAGAAGCATACTCTTAGGTAACCTTAGAAATAAGGACTGGATTTTACTTTTGAAACAAAAACCTCAGCCCAAATATTCTGTTCTAAATATTCCACTCTTTCTTGCAAGCCCAAAGACTCTTCTTACCACATACCAGCATGAGAACATATGGCTGCGTAGAAATGTGCTGGTGAGCAGAGGGAGGTCTGACTTCTTCACTTTGCATTTTAGAGCATGAAAAAAGCACTGATTAAATAGTGCATCCATTTGCTCTGTAGGGAAGAAAAGGACAAGTATGCAGTGAGCAGCCTCTCCTTTATAACACAATGCTCAGCTTCAGCCCACAGAACTCCATCCTGTACTCTGTGCCTTCTAGGATGCACAGTAACCTAGATCATGGGTACCAGCTTCAGCAAACAAAAGCTGCTGGGTTTGGATCCATTTGCATGCAGAAGTACCTTGTGGTGTCCTGCTGTCCTCTGCATCCTGCTGAGCCCCTGTGCTACCATCCTCAGCTGGTTCTGCAGCTCTGCTCTCATTGAGTTCCTCCTTTCCCATCACTACTGCACAACTATTTTGCTCCTTCAGGCTCAAATCACCAATGTTCACATGCTGTGGTGTGTCAGTGGAGAACCTGTTGCCAGGCTTTTTCCCCTCCACCTCTTCCTCATTTTCAGCATTCTCCTTTTCAGCAGGATCTGCTACCAATGGAGCTAAGGTAGGAGGACAAGATTTGTCACCATATTCCCTAAAAAAGGAAGAAAAAGCATTATGCAGCTTTCTGTTTAATGCTTGGAAACCCGTAGCACAGTAATACTCATAAATGTTCCCTGATAAAAGGCATGGGGAGTCGTATGGATCTTAAACTATAAGATTTATTTCCATGTCTATTGGACAGACCTCAGGGCAGAGAACTGCTTCTGTCAGAAAAGTGTGGTCATCAAAGACAGGTGGCACAGCTGAAGCCTTAACAGAGGTCACATCTCAGCTGTATCCAAACAATGAATGATCCAACTTACTGGGACACAGCTTTGATTTTAGTAAGGCTTGTCACGTGTTCTACAAAATGCCTGCAGATACACTCACCAGAGATGATCCATGTAAGTATGCAACACAGCAAAGCCTTTGCCTTTCATTCCAGCAGCCAGCATCTCTGTGGTGGACATAGCAGCAGCTGCAACTGCTACAGGAGCTCTGGGGAAACACAGCAACATTACAGCAGAACACCACAAACACAACTGTGCTACTTGAACAAAAGAACACTGCTCTTGTGATATACTGGGATTGTTTTACAATGTCCTTGTTCTTTAAAGCCACGCAGGCATTTTTGGGTTTTGTCCCTTCTCTCTGGTATGTAAGATCTTTCAAAGAATCCCAAGGATGTGTGCAGTTGTGCGACTGCAGTGACAGGTGGGCAGTGATGCATTCTTCCTTTTAAGAAAGCACAAGGAGCACAGGCACTGCTAAAAAGAGACCTGGGTGGAGGGAGAGAAATACAGCTTTAATGCTGTTCCCTCTTTCTGAGCCTTCATGCAGACAAGAAGACAGCTGTGTAGATTATAATCTTACGTAGAAACTGCTGTTTCAAAAGAAATCCACAGGTCTCAGCTCCAAGAGAACAAATTTGTGTGGCTTTCCACCTGAGCTCAAATATCCCAACCCAGAAATGTAACTGCATTTTTTTTGTGCTGAATTTTCCACTGTTCAGGTCCACAGTCCATCAAATGCCTGAGAATAATTCTGCTACTATTCCCCCAAAAGCCCCAGAGTTTCCACGTTAAAAATGGTTTTCCTTTCAGTGTTTCTAAGAAGAGATGGGAATAAGGAGTGCTCTGTACCTGTTTCCCAGGAGGGTGACAGCACAGAGCGTGCCTCGCTCTACTTGTGGAAAGCCAGAAGATGGCACTACAACTCCTGGCAGCATCAGATCTGAGGACAACAAAGCATGCATTTCTCAATGAAAGATTCAGCCACGACCTCCTCCACCCCCACCCCTTCTGTTACTCAGCAAAAAAACACAGCCTGCTAATCGCTGAGTAGATGCCAGAGAAAATATCGTTCTGTTTCCCCTAGTAAGTTAGCACTTCTTGCTACCACCCTGTGGAATAGGGGATTCAATTTGGTGTGCACATCCTAAAGCACAGCAGAAGAGCTATACGTGCTCAGTCCCCTGCCTTGTCAGGCACAAAGAAGGTAATCTTCTAACAAAAAGGAATAAGCTCTCAGCCTAGACAGCATTGATGACAAGGAAAAAGAAAGGAATGAGAACATACATGCAAAAGCATTTATTCTGCCCTGTCCCAAGGCAGAGAAGCTCTCTCTTTGCTAAAATTTGCCACTGATGACTCAACCACCCTGACCTGACAGCAGCTGCACTCAGTTGTGAGCTCTCCTCAGCAGGAGGAAGTTGCCTTCACCACTCCTTGCTAATCTGGACAGAAACAAGTGGACCTTGCTGTGTGATTCGTTCTGCTTTCCATGCCTGGGACGAACAGACCAGCACGTGAGTAAAAACATGCTCCATGCCTCATGTGTGGCATCATGTCTTCATTAAATTATATTAAAATCATCTACTCTCCCTCACAGCAGCTGTAGCTGTCTAGACCTTGCAGTTCCATGGACTGACCTGTGTTCCATACATTGATCTCACTTTTCTCTCAGCATCTTAGATGTCATCTGCATGCTGAGAGGCCAGCAGTATTCTTCCTCCCATTCACCTACAGCTAACCCAGGCTGAACTCTGCAATTGCAGGCAAGGCTCCACATCTCCAGGGACAGAAATCATGCAAAAATCTTAAAGTGACAAGGTAACCAGCTGTGTGCATTGTGTAAATAACCAGGGCAGGCAGTGAGGCCTTCGAATTCAAGGCACAGATGCCGTGAATAGCACTGCCTTCCTTCTCTTTGTAACTGATTGCTTCCTCAAGTCTGCTCCATCCCTCTGTGTCTGCAGTCTGGACAGTCTCACGCCTTTCCTCCCATTTCTATGACAGGGCAAAATCTTTGCTTTCTGCCTTTGCTGGCCATTGTCTCCATGGCCAGTTTCTTATCTTTGGATCATACCCAGCAGTAGCCTGGTTGCCATGGGAGATGAATGACCTGCAGCCCTCTTTCATCAATGTTCTTCTCCTGTTAACAAGACTTTTTTCCCCCACAAACTAGGTCACTACCAGCCAACAACAAAGCTTGCTCAGATGTTTATCATAGCTACGCACTTATACACTTTATTTCCCCAAGAGCAGAGTGAACAGAGCGACTTGTCTGCTTCTCTAGACAGTGTGTAATGGAAAAAAGACATCTATTTCTACACGTACACTTCCATTTATAGATTAAAGCTGCAATGGCTGGAATTCAATCTTTTTCTGGTTGAACAGTTCTGCTGTTTCAGGTTTATAAAGGCCTGACTCTTACGCATCTGAACTGCATCCAAAGCAGATGCCAGAAAATAGATTCATTTCTTGTTAGTCTCGATCCGTAAGTAGCTGGTAGAGCCAGTACTCCAGCAATTCAAATCCAACCTCATCTGCAATCCACAATTTACCTGACAGTGATTAAAACTGTAGGTTCCAGTACAAACTCACTCTCCATAGGATAAGCAAGCTCACCTCTGAACTGACAGCACCCAGAGTGGCAGCAGATGGAGTCAGCTGCCCAAGGAAAGCTAAAAAAACCCCCACAGAGCAGTGACACAGGCTTTTCAGTGTCCCAGTTCACAGTCACTGATCAACTTTACACCCTGAAGAGGCATTTCCAAATCCCAGACTCTCAAATGGAACAGATTACTGCATTTAAACAGCTTAACCTACTTTGGTTCATTCACAAACTTATCTGCTGCTGATTTATTTTCCGTTTCAGGAGATCAAGGTGAATTACTTTGTGCCTTAGTATTCTTTGTACTTTCTCACTGTTTCAGGTCCCACTGGGAAATAATATCACCAAAAATCCCTGAAGGCAAATCCTATCTGCAATGGGATGTGACAAAGTTCTGATCCTCTTACCTGCTCCTCCTGCTAGCTTCTGTAGCACAGGGGGCCATGTTGAAAAAGCAGGGAGAAGATCTGGGTAGACCCACAGAGTATACACTGCGCCAAAACAGAAGAAAATTTAAAGAGGTATCATTAAAAAAAGCTAGCTGCTGCTTCTTACCATCTTGAAGACTAAACAGGACCATGCTAACTGCAAGGTCTGCAAGGTCAGAACAACCCTACAGTAATTAGAAAATAGAGAAAAAAACAGCTATTTAATTCACGATTCTGTGAATTACTATAAAGATGATCCCTTGAATTATCTTCTGTAACTCATGGGCACTTTGAGCTGATCTGCTACTCCAACAGGGAAGAATTTCTGGATAGGGATAAAACAAAAACACAAAGTTATCTATCAGAGCAGCTTGTTAGCTAATTCCAGGGCTGCCTGGATGTGGATGTGATACCTGCTGATACCAAGTGAGCAACAGAAGGATGAGAGGTGAGGATGCAAAGCTGTGGCTGAATTGTTTCCTGGTTCCTAACCTCTCAGAGCCTCCATTCTGCAAGAATCTCACTGGATTTCACACCGATGCCAGCAGAATAAACACAATAAAGTGTGCAGATGAGGTGCAATGGGAGACGTGTAAGCACTTAAACACAAGCAAGGGGGGGAAATCCAGGTTTGTATTGAGTGAACAGGGCGGATTCCTCCACTGCGCTGCCCATACCTGTGGGATACAGAGCTTTTTCAATCTCAAACAGGATCGGGTTCCTGCTATTCGTGTACACAGTGCCAGCCTCCCCTTTATGAGTGTATATCTTGATGACATTCAGCTCATCCTTGTTTGGAATCAACTCCGCCAACCGCTCAGCGCTCAGACTGGGAAAAGCAGCCGCAACATCACCTCGCAGCTTTTTCCTGTAACGATAAAAGCAATTCCTCCATCAGTGTTTCGGTGGCTGCGAGACTCTCACTTTTCCACTAGCGATGATGGCTCGCAGGGCAAATCCCCACAAGCCGTGAGGGCGCTGGGAAGAAACCAGACGTCCTCCTCGCTCTCACCCCTCATCTCTGCCCTCCTGCCCCGCACCGCCCGCTCCCCGCACACCGGCACTCACCGCTCGGATCCCTTGATGGCGGTGCTGGCCCTGACTCGGAACGCCTTGCAGAACATGGCGGCTCTGCCCTCAGCCCCCGGCGGCCGCCATGGCGCCGTGCGCTGCTCAACGAGTCCGGGCGGAAACAACCCGCCCGGCCGGGCCGGCCCGAGGAAAAAGGGAAAGTTTGAGCCGCCGGGCTTTGTCCTAAGATTGAGATTTCTTTGTTCTGAGTGCTTTTGTGGCTGCCGATCGCTTCACACACACGGGAAATAAACCCCTGCCGAGCCGCAGCAGCGCCGTCGTGGGAGCGGGGCTCATTTCAGCATCGCCGGCGTGCGGGGGGTTCTGACAGCACTGAGCGACGCACGGGATGCCGCACGGTTTTCTTTCCGCTCGTAACACAATAACGCAACCCCTTTTTGCCACTCGGGTCGAAAGCGTGTTGTTTTAATGCAACAACCGCTGAGTTTGCAGAAAAAGAAAGCGACGTCAGGGTGGCCCCGGGCTACGATGCGGCTCTCAGAGAGCGGAGCGGAGCACTTTAGGATGGCAGAGGAGCCGGCTGTGCGCCGAGAGAAAACGGCCGCTCGATGCTCCCCGGGCCGGCCTCGAACCCGGGTCCTTGAGAAAGCGCGGCGCTCCGTGCCCCGCCCCGCTCGCAGTGCGCATGCGCGTTCAGGCGGCGGGCGGGGGCGCGTTCCCCTGGCAACGGGCGGCCCCGCCGCGGCCCGGCAGTTGCGGGCGGCCGCAGCCTGGCTGCCCGCCGCGGCAGCGCTGGACGGCGGCGGCGAGGCCGGAGGTGCGGGGCGGCGGCGGCGGCGAGACGGGGGATGGGGGCCGCCTCCCCCCGCCACCATGCTGCTGGGCAGGAAGCCGGAGGCTCCGCTCGGTGCAGGTGAGACGGGAGAGAAGCGGAGGGAGCGGCCCCTCGGCACCCGGGCGGGACCCGCGGGGGTCGGCGGAACAATGCGGGCTGCGGGCGGGCGGAGCCGGGGAGCTGCGGGTATGGGCGCCCCGTGCTTGCGGTGCGCGCTGAGCGCTCCTTTTCTCTCCGAGTATTTCTCGGCTGCTGAGCAAACAACGCGACCTCTTTTACATTTATTTTTAAAAATTTTTTATTTTTTATTTTCCTCGCGGCAAATCCGCCGGCTTTAATTCCCCTGTATCGTTTGTACGGGGTAACCTACTTCCCAGCTAGTCCGATCAAGGCGTGTGCTCCGTTTGCATTGCTGCTCGCGATGAGGCCACTTTGGGATTATCTGCTTAATGCAGGGAGGGGAACGCTCTGCCTCCTGTTCCTGGAGGGTATATTTGCATTGCAAGCATCGATTAAAAAAAGGAGAAGCTCTAAATTAAAGCAAAAGTATCAAACTAAGCTTCCTAAGCAGCGTTATACTCTGGTGTTATAACACTCTGAATGGCGTAGTTAAAGATTGTTTACTAATTATATGAGAACCTCCCAAGGAGGCTGTGGATGCCCCATCCCTGGAGGCATTCAAGGCCAGGCTGGCTGTGGTTCTGAGCAGCCTGGTCTGGTGGTTGGCAGCCCTGCATATAGCAGGGGGTTGGAACTGGATGAGCACTATGGTCCTCTTCAACCCCATTCTATGATTCATGAGTTACACCCGATCGTTTGCCTCCATACGTAGCAATGTGAATTGTCAATAACTGTATGGAACATTTTCAGCCAGGTTTGGAGATGGATTATATGACTCCTATATGAGGATAGATCAGCTTAGGTACCAAGAGTCTGCAAATGAAGAACACAGCCCCTCAGGACTGCCTTCCCTCGGGAGATCTAATGTGAGTACTTTGAAGTTTTCACGTGGTGTTGTGTGGCTGTGTGTCTCGTTATAGAAAGTAAAGGCAAAAGGTGGGATGTTGCTTTTACTGAGCACAAGAGCAATTTGGTATTTTGTACAATGTAAAATCACCAGACGGTGTCAGAAGTCCTGTGTTATTGCCCTCAGCTTGTATTTTAATCCAACAATTTATTCTACAAATAAGACCTTCTGCTGTGTCACCTAATGTGCTGATCAGTACATAAGTCCACACACCTTTTGCTTTAGCTGTTACACGTTTCCATTTTAGTTTTCTTCAAGACAATCCCAAGGCTTCAGTGTAGGTTTATGTCTTCAAACTTCTTCCAGAAGTCTTTCTTCTCTGAAAACTCAGGCATTATCTGCTGCTTTGTGTGCTAGCAAAATAGCTCCGCGTGGGCTGAAGGTGTAAAGGTGTTTTCTTTGTAAGCACTGTGTTTCCTAAGCAGATGTGGAGTTATGCAGTCTTTCCTCACATTGTCTCAACTGAACAGGGGTAGTTGTGTTCGTCTGCACGGTGATCTGACCTTTGTGTGGTTCTTAGATTTGTTTTGTCTCTTGTTGAATTGTGGCAAAACTAAAGGAGCTTGTGCTTAAGCAACAAAAAAAAAAAACTCACTATCTAAAAAATGGAAAATAAACTTTTCACTGAATAAGGTGTGTTTGAAAATCATCACCTGGTGTCAAGTTATTCAAACAGATATCAGTAATTAATTTGGTCTTTGCCATTCACTGAGCAAATACAGTAGCTTGGCTGCATTGAGAAAGCAGAGGCAATACAGAGATTTGGTGAGCAGTAAATTTTGGAGGGAGGGGGGCAAATGAGAACACCTAAATGCAGTGTTTCAGTCTTAGTGCCACTACAACTGCTCATAACTAATCAGAAATCAAAAGGCTGGAACCATCCAGTGAAGTGCAAATGTAATTGTATGAATGTTTTGTTTGCATGGTGCAACTCATCCTTCGTTTGTATGTTGTCCATCACAGCTGAGAGCTTTTTAAGGCAAAATTAAGGGCTGTAAAATGGCCTAGTTTCACTCCTAAATATTAAAAAAAAAAATACAATCTCAATGATATCTTGCATGCTGAAGTGTGCAGGGCTGAAGACTGTGATACTCAGCTTTAAAGGAGAAGTGTATGGATTTCAGTGATGCTTGGTTTCTTGCTTTCCAAGATTTTTGCATTGTGATGTAAAGTTACATGAGAGCTGAGGATGCCTGCTACATGCAGCTGTTGGCCCTTTTCATCTCCAGCTATATCAGAGAACATAAATATTTCTGCTTTGAGAATAGATGGGTTTGATTCCGTTTGTGGAAATAACCGATGCACTTTGGAGAAGAGAGTTGTGTAGGAACTGGCTTGAGTGTTTACTTATAAAACTTCATCTGAAGTGAGAAGGATGTGAGAGTCTTTAATGCAGTGCCAGTTGTGTTGTCACTGTAATTTCCTGGCTTCTAACAGCAGCATATTTTATCAAGGACAAAGGAATACTGGGATTTGTAAGAGCAAGCTGCTGAAGGAAAGCTGGTGTTGCCCAGAAGTCATCTGACTTCGAGTCAGATGGAGCTGTGTGTGTATCCTGCTGTCCTGTGGCAAAGGATTGTGGCAGTCACCTGAGAATGAGAACTCAGCCCTCGCTGCTGCCAGGCTGGATGTGGTCTGGTGCTGCACATAGCAGGGGGTTGAAACAAAATGATCATTATGGCCCTTTTCAACTCAAGCCATTCTATGATTCTGTGATACTTGGGGATGCTGAGCCTGGTTTGGGCTCCAGAACCATCATTTCTTCTGTAAGAAATGATTGTGGCAGAAATATGGTCGTGAATTCTTTGTTTATTGAGGAAGTTAGAAGCAGTATTTGCTGCAAACTGCGCTTTTAGGTGGAACGGGGTTTGTTGAGCTTTGGTGCTTTATCTTGTTTGTTTGTAAGCATGCTGGTTTTGTGTGCTGCACTGAATGGTGTTTTTGCTGGCTCTGGAAATACGCCTTCCTTATCTCAGAGGTTCAGCCAGGCTCCAAGAAAAAGGCGTTCATTCTAAACTACCAGGGCTGGGCTTTGCTTTTCTCACTCAAGACCTTCTGGCAAGGCGTGCCTCTCACAGAGCACCGAGGGTTGGGGCTGATAGGGCTCTGGGCACTGGAACTCAGTAGGATGCATCCAGTGGCCTCACCAGCCTTCCTCTGAAAGCAACTGCTGCAGGAAATGCCCATCTTTTGGGCTCATGAGCAAAACACGCAGGCTTTGAAGAGATGTAGCTTGCTTTTGGTGAGAACGTTCACTTCTTTTATTTATGGGCTGTGCTGGGATGTTAGATTTTGTGTAACTAAAAAGGAATTTGGTTTTATTGCGATGGCTCTGCAGGTTTATTTATATTTTTGTGTGATTCCTGTGCAGCTATTTCAGTTTTCGGGGATTGGGTTTGGCATGTGTCTCAAATCTTTATTTTTAGATTAAAGGATGGAATGGAAAACAGATGTTGCTACTCCAGTCTCGGCTTCTTCCATGTTGTGTGGGATAAAACAACACCTCTTTGCTGTCTGTCAGCATGGAGCATCAGTGGGGAGAAGGGGGGAATAACTGCTGTGCAAATCGTGGTCTGAATTCCAGGCAGTTCAGCACTTACTTGTTTGAAAATGTCAAACTTGAAGCTTCTTCTCGTTCTTATTTGCTATTTCTGATGCAAGTATTTTAACATATGGCAGTAAGTGGCAGTGGTTACAGGCTGCTGCCAGAGAATAAAAGATATTCTTGATTGTGAAGGACTTCCAAGTCTGTTTTCTCGTAGTTATTCAGCTATTGTGATTCCAGAGGGACTGTGGTTATGATGTGTTTTTCCCCTTTAAAAAAGAATAAACACAAAACCAAATGTTTATACATATGAGAAACTTTATATACAGAAGATCCATCTTGTCCTGCTGTCATCCTTTTGCTTTCTGTTCAGCTTGGCTACACCAGCCTGACATCATTTGCTGTTGCCTCTTTGTCTCTGTGGCACGCTTGTCCTTGCAGTGCTGCCAGCACTTCCCTGCACATCCATGTCGTGCTGCTTGTTTCAGACAGGTGCAGATTGCATCTGTCATTGGTTGTGTTTGCTGCACCCGTGTTTGAAGCTAAACATAGCCGTTCCCCTGGCTGTTTGCTGACTGTGTGCATGCTGCTGGAGATAGGTATTGTGTCCTTGTTTGAATGTTGGACTCTCTAGGGTTTTACCCTGCATGGGTTTAAAAATGCATTTGTGCATGTGCTTGTTTCACTAAGTTGCATTCTGGTTTGTTTCCCTTCTGTAACTACACTTTAACTTGAGTTAACTTAGG